TTTTTTTTTTTCGCCCGCTCGCACCGACTTTGGGGTCCCCAGAGGATGTCATCCATAAAAATAAAAAAGTGTGGCCTATAGTTATACATTTGTAAAAAGGTCCTTTTTTGGTTTAAGCTACGCGTCTTTTCTTTTCAGTTTTATAAGCTTTAGGTTGACCTTGCTTACCGTATTTTTTTTCTAGGGAGGGGGGCATGCGGTTTCTAGCACATTTACTAGTGTTTCAGTCACGTTCTCACAAATGCAAGCTAAATCTATTCAATTGGAGACTGGTGTGACTGCGTCACTATTTAGATTGTTTGTTTTTTTATGGTTAAACAGGATTTGGTTTATTTTTCTCATGTTCCATTGTAAGCCAGTCTTCCAACTGACTGGCAGGTACACGGCCCTGCCCTTCTACTGACTTCTCCTCGCCCCTTGGAGAGTCGTCTGTTCCACAGGCAAGTACACGGCCCTGCCTTCCATCCGATCCCTCATACTCACCTTCGCCACGGTCGGCAAGCAGTGCTCGCCGGAGCTGTGGCGGTAGAGAAGCTAGAACCTCCAGAAGGTGGTTCAGCATCTCAAGTTCTTAGTCCTTAAAAGGACGTTTTGTGTTGGATACAACAGCCTTTGCGTAAGACATTATTGGTATTAGCATGGTATGGTATATCAAGTGAATATGCTTCACTCGAATGGAATGAATGATGATCTGCCTGTAGTACAGTACAAGTTTGCATCGGCGGAGCCGTTGCGGGAAAGTTACGAGGTCTCATGCATCGTGATGCAAGAGCCTCATTCAATCCCCGAGTTCTTGTATATTGTCTTCTGCTGTTGTACGTCTGTCCGTGGTGTTACTTGGGTGGCTTGAATTTTTTTTAATCCCTTCCTCTTATGCTGGCCGCCCCTCCAGCTTGTGTATTTTTTCCAGATGATTTTTTTCTTTTTTTTTCCCTTCCGCTATGGTTATTGCAATTCTTTCACCTTGTCTCCGGTCGTCGGGTGACCGGATTCTTTCCTTAATTTTGAATTGGTGTTGCCCTTTTCAGGGCCAGTTGTATTTTCTCCGGTCGTCGGGAGACCGAATCCGCCAAGATTTTCGTGCACGATCTGTATAATTATTAATATAAATCAAGGGTAGTATTTTTGCCTGGTTTGCTTAGTATGGTGTTTTTCAGCTTTAGTTCTTTAAATAGGTTATTTTCAAACCTGCTGATTGTTTTTTTTGCCCAAAAAAAAAAAAAAAAAAAAAAAAAAAAAAAAAAAAAAAAAAAAATTCTGCTTGATATATATTCAATGTTGGCCAGCTCGTGCAGAGTTGTAATTCGGGTACTCATAGGAAGTTTGAGTGCTATGCGTAGCGCTCTATTTTGAATTTTTTGTAGATCGTTAAGCCTCGTTTGGTAGCCGTTAGTATGACCGCGCCGTATTCGAGTGCAGGTCGAATGAATGATTTGTACAATTTGATGAGGCAGGCACTCGAAGCCCCCCAGTTTGTACCTCTCAGTCTGATAAGAAGGCCAGTTCTTTTCCTGGCTCTTTTCACTATATTGTCGACGTGTTTTTTAAATGATAGTTTCCTATCAAAGGTGATTCCTAGCAGTGTTACTTCCTCACATGTTTCTAAACGGTCGCCAAAAAGTATGAGGTTAAGCTTAGGTTGTTGATTTGATTTTGAAAAGATGATTAATTGTGTTTTCTTGGTGTTTAGTTTTATCCGCCATAGAGAGCACCATAGTTCGAGATCTTTGAGAATGCCCTTCAGTATAGTTTCTATGCTTTTAACATTCTTGCATGATGTCCACATGCCTAAGTCATCTGCAAATTGAGAGACCTTGGTGTTGTATCTTGGGTTTATTGGTAGGTCGTTCACATATATTAGGAAAAGCAACGGGCTGATTAAAGACCCCCTGAGGCATGCCAGCATTAAGGCTTACATATTCGGATACCTCGCTCTTGATTTTGACCTTGATCTTTCTGTCATTCAAAAAAGATGACAGCAAGTGAACAATCTTGACTGGCAGGTTGCTATTTGCTAGCTTGTACCATAACCCAGCATGCCAGACTGAATCGAAAGCCTTTTCCACATCTTGCATAACAGCACCCGTAACCCAGCTTTTGTTTATTGCCAGTTGTGCACATTCCGCTAATCTGAGCACATGCTCCATTCCTTCCTTCTTGCTCACGTACGCTCTTTGCCAAGTATTGGTCATTTTCAAATTTTTCTTTTTTTTCTATTGGCGATTATTCTCTTGAATAGTTTGCCTAGACAGCTAAGCAGGCTGATCGGTCGATAATTTGTTGTTATTTTATGATCTTTCTCAGGTTTGGGTATCATTATACCAGTTGCTTTTTTCCATATTGTGGGGAAATATCCCAACTGCAGACAGTTGTTATAAATGTCGCATAGTTTGTTTTTTAGACATTTAGGCGTTTTCTTAATTATCCTGTTTGTTATTTCGTCATCACCCGGCGACGTGTTTTTTTTTTTGAGATTTTGGTGGATTTCCTCTATTGTGATTTTGTTTAGAATTTTATGATCGTCCCCTTCTTCTAGTGTCGGGCTAGTTAAGGGATCGAATTTGTGTTTGTTTTTAACGACGTAGTTTTCCACCACTGCTTTAAATGTATCATTGAATATGACCCCCTCGTGGGTGTTATGTATCTTGCCAAGGGTATTTGCAAATGCATTTGCTTTCTCCGCATCGTTTGTTGTAAGTTGCCCATTTTCTTTAAGTACAGGCTTTTCAGATGTTTCTTTAGCTTTGCCAGTGCTAGTTATAACTATAGCCTTTTAAACATGTCCCAGAAGGTCTTGTCCATTTTTCTTTCATTTAGCATAGAGGTAGCGGTTTCCCAAGCTTTTTGTTTTTCTTTTTTGATGGCTTCTTTGACCCGTTTTGTCATATAGTTGTACATGATTTTGTAGAAAGGGCCTTCTTTCTTTTGAGCCAGGCGTCTTAGTTTTCTTTTCAGTTTTATAAGCTTAAGAGTGTCCTCGCTGACTCTCCATACATTTTCTCGTACCTTTGTTTTTGGACATGCGGTTTCAAGTGCATTTACTAGTGTTTCGGTCACATTCTCACAAGCTTCATCTATTCCAATGGTGGTAGGTGTGACTGCTTCGCTATTTAGATTTTTAGAAATTAGATGGTCAAACAGTAGTTGGTTTATTTTTCTTGTATTCTATTGTAAGACGGTTGGTGCTCTTGCTATTCGGTTATTCTGTATGATTTTTACGTGTAGAGGTAGATGGTCGCTACCGACGTCTTCACCTACGTAACAGTCAGCTATTTTTGAGTAAAGTTGAGTCGTGACAAAAGCCATGTCCAGCGTATCAGTGTTGCCGTTGGTGGCCATATGTGTTGTTTCGCCCTCATCGTTAAGATTAATCAGGTCTAATTCTTCACTTATGTCAAAAAGAACGTTTCCGTTGTTGTTCGTTTGCTTGCAACCAAGGAAAGCGTGCTTACTGTTAAAATCGCCTATAAATAGACAATTTTGATATTGATCAGTAAAGTGCTTAAATACTGCTTTGTCTGGGGTTGTATGCGGTGGGTTATACAATGAAACTATAGCCGTTTTTATTTGATTTATCGTAGTTTCTATCCCCAGTATTTCAGCATTAAGGTTGCTGGTATTGATAGCTTGGAACTTTACATCTTTCTTAACGAGTATAGCCACTCCGCCTCCATGCGCATCTGTCCCTGCGCAACACCCGATAGCCGTTCACAGATATTTTTGTCTACGATGTCAGGTTCATGCTCTACCAAATATTCAACTAAGAGTTGTTTCTTGGTTCTCAGACTGTTTATGTTGATATGCATCAGGTGTGCCGCCATCTTTGGGTGGAGGGGTTGACGCGNTGGAACTTTACATCTTTCTTAACGAGTATAGCCACTCCGCCTCCATGCGCATCTCTGTCCCTGCGCAACACCCGATAGCCGTTCACAGATATTTTTGTCTACGATGTCAGGTTCATGCTCTACCAAATATTCAACTAAGAGTTGTTTCTTGGTTCTCAGACTGTTTATGTTGATATGCATCAGGTGTGCCGCCATCTTTGGGTGGAGGGGTTGACGCGTGTTAGTGTGTTTGCATCTGTTTTACTTGAAGGCAACGTTGTGGATAGTTTCACCATCTATCTTGACCTTGTAAGTGGAGGCTACGGCTTCTGCTATGTCTTTATATATGAAGCTTTCGTTTGCCTGTATCTTTAGTCTTTTTGATGTCATTTTAATGAGTAATTTAGCTAGGCATATAGCCAATTTGATAGACTCTGTCACATTCACTTTTTTTAGCATTGTCTATTGATATGCGTTTTTGTTCGGTGTTTATTTCTTTTTTATACACCTACCTTTAAATAATGCCGGGTGTTCTTCCTTACAATTGGCACATTTGTGGGTGCTTTCTGTACATTCTTTATGACTGTGCGCCCCACCACAGTTTTTGCAAGTCTCGGCTGACTGGCAGTGTTTGGCTCTGTGCCCGAACTGTTGACAGTTGTAGCACTGTTGCACTGGTGTTGTGACTGGCTTATAGTCCCGTATTATATAATTCTGGTATCCAAGCACCAAACGATTATCGAGCAAGTGTTTCTTTTGTTTTTTGTTTTCGCATGTTATTTTGACCTTGTTGATCTCATTTCCTGTCTTAGCACTGAACATGCGCTTAGCTATCAGACCTTTCTCTTTTCTTATTTCGTCATCCATTATTGATAGAGCTATATTGCAAATGACTACGCATAGGTTCTCTTTATTTTGGTTTTGTGTTTTGTTCGCTACTTTTCTTATGCCAACCTCATTTAGTTGGCTTTCTTTATCTTTCAGGGCAAGTAGCTTCTCAGATGAAGCCTCCTCTTTGGGAAAGATAAGGGTGTTACCTTTCTGGGTTTTCAATTTTGGTAATATCGGCATCACCAAGTACCTTCTTTAATTTGAGTGCATTGACATTCAGGTGTCTAGGCAAATTTTCTAACAGTATGGGTCTAGGTATTTCTATCTTTTTGTTTTCCTGTCCGCTTTTTTTAGTTTTAGGGTAGACAACGGTCCACTCTGATTCCTCGGAGTTTCCCTCCTCGCCCCGTGGAGGGTCGTCTGCTAGAGCCTTTTTGGTAATTTTGTGGAAATTGCCTCCCTCCGACTCCACCTTCTCATTCAGTTTGGCCCTTTTCTCGGCCTTTTTCCTAGCTTTTTTTGAGAGATTATCTCCCTCCTTTTCCCCTCTAATTTCCTTTTCGCCCCTTGGAGAATTACGCAGCCAATTTGCAGGTACACGGCCCTGCTCCACATCCAACGTCTCCTCGCCCCTAGAAATTGTTTCTTTGCTTGCAGGTACACTGCCCTGCTCCGACACCTGCTTCTTCTCGCCCCTGGGAGAGCAATCCTGTTCATACTTACCTTCGCCACAGGGATCAGCTAGCAGAGCTTGCCGAAGCTGTGGCGGTAGAGATGCCAGTACCTCCCTAAGGTGGTTCAACATCTCTACCTCATCGTCCTTAAAAGGACGTTTTGTGTTGGAAACAACAGCCTTAGCGTAGGACATTATTGGTATTAGCTTGGTATTCAATGAATGAATCAAAATCAATGGAATCGAATGAAAATGTTGAATGTGATCGAATGGAATACTGCAGGAAGGGAGCGTTTTGTATAAATACAACGCGTTATGCAAATAAGGGGATCCAGCGCTACACGTTGTGAAATTCACAATCGGATTGGTTGAAGTTCCCAGCGCGCAACAGATGCAGCGTCGAAGCCGAGGCAAAATAGCATTGACCTCACGAAAGCACTTAACAGATCAAAATGGTCTCATCATTAACGAAAACAGCGTGCGTATGCTGTTAGTTTCAATTCCTTGACAGCAGTTCATGTGTCAAACCAGACGTTATGTTCAATGAGCTGTCACATCAAAGTAATGATTGTAATCAACATAGAAGTAGAGAAAATAGCTGACAGCAATTAAGGTGTCCTACGGTTTTAATCAAGTCTAACATGACGTACGTCAACTTTGTTTAGAGCAATACAACACAAGCCTTAATGAGGTATTCAACCCCTCAAACCGTGACCATTATATATATAAATATTATGTTATTGGAAGGAGGATGTGTGAAGCACTTGTTTCTATCGTGCAAAACCATACCTATAGTTAGTTCATGGCCCCTGTAAACTATGTAAACTGTATGCTGGTACCAAATAATCTAATAGATTTATTCAAATTAGAGGCTCGAGTGCTGCACAGTGAGAACGAGGGCAAGTTAAGCGCTCTCTTTACCTATTGGCAGTTATTTGTACAGTTATATGTACGGAGTTATATGTACGGAGCTTTGTTAGTATCATATTAACTTTTCTTATTTTCATTTAAGTTTTATTATACGGAATTTACACCGCGGTGGGAATTAATTTTCACTGCGGTGGAAAATAATTTTCACCGCGGTGGTAATTCCTGGCCATCTCAGCCCGGGTGCTGCATACATGCAGGTTATACGAATCCAAAAATTACCAGATTTCTGGGAAGGAAGTTGATAAAGACACTCACATGCACATGCACGCGGTTTAACCAGTCTATGTGCCAATCATCCCAGGAATGTGGAGGAAGCGGGCAGTATTCGCATAGATTAAAAATCACCAAAATGCTGCAATGTTGTACGTCGCTTTTCCCTTTGTAATAACACGTATTATTGGGAGTATTGGTAGAAAGAAACCTCTCCAAGGAAACCGAGATTACATCTATTAAGATAAGATGTATGGGCAAACACATCACACAAATATTTAAAAATACATTGTCCAAAATTAACGTTAAGTATTTAGTAATAACAATGGGATTCCCTTTGCATAAAACTGCAAGCGGGACTTTAATTATATAGGTGGTAAATATAGATGGGAAACCTAAGTTAACGGCAGTGACCCCACGAACAGATCCACCAGCCTTGTGTATGTACAATAGCATGCACCGTGACGACATCTGGCAAATGTAAGGTTCTCATTACCTATTCATCACCCGGGCCGAGATGGCCAGGAATTACCACCGCGGTGAAAATTATTTTCCACCGCGGTGTAAATTATTTTCACCGCGGTGAAAATACCATAAAATAAAACTTAAATGAAAATAGGAAAAAAGTTAATATGATACTAACAAAGCTCCGTATCTATGACTGTAATTAATTTTTCCTTTCCCCACAGTGTCTTTCTTTTACCAATCTGTACCGTGTATACATATGGTAGCCATGCATTTATGTGTATGTCTTTGTAAAAGTTTGTAACAATCCAAATGAATATGATTGTAATGTAGTGGTGATTTCACGGCCGAACTTCATTTTAGAAACTTCCACATTTAAATCAAATTATATCAACATTTGGTGAAGAATGCCTCGGTTATAATGATATTCAAGAATATGTTAATGTATTTTATTCATTGGAAAGAACTCAAACCAAGTTTTTAAGGATGTTTTTAGTTTTAAAAGGATTGAATAACTTTATTTACGGCTTCATCTCCAAGTTAAGTTCTATTTAAGCCATCTGAGTTTAATTATGTTACAGGTCTCTAGTAATATGTCTTAATTCTGTTGATTGTCTTCAATATCTCTGACTTGTTTTAGGATTCACTGTAATGTATTTTGTGTGTATTACTATATGTCAGGAGAACTTTGTAACTAGAGATCAGAAAGATCAGAGTAAGTCGATCTGGTCAGTCGAACGGATAGCTGGATTGTCCATGTCGTCTTAGGAGACTCCAGATCTCTCAATTTGTTAAAATAAATGAATAAGTAAAGTTTAATATCAAGCTTATTTATACAAATTGCAGTAACTTAAAGCAGAGACATTGATTTAAAAAAAAAAAAAAAAACTGCATAAACAGGGATCTTATGGGAATTTAAGGAACTTCAACTAACTGTTATTAAAAGTGTACATACTATAAAAAGTTACTGTCTCAGTATTATTTAATAAAAAAAAAGATCAAATTACTTCAACAAATAAACGAAAAAATAAAATCAAATGATGCCTGGATTGGTTTACTCCCCTTCCGTGAAAAAAAATTGTGGTACTTTTTGGAGATGTTTATAATTTTCTTAACCTTTTATTGCTACTCTAAGATAGCTCCTAACATTAAATTTGGTTTTGATCTTGAAGGAATTGTACAACCTTCTTATTACTTCCTTAAGGTAAAAACAAATTAACGTGCTGGGTATGGAGTTGTTCCGATTCATCTAGTGCCTTTGTGAATCTAAAGTGAAATGTGAACGATACGTAAGTTGCTCAATAGTCCAATATTTACAAATTGTCGGTATAATTGAGATAAATAGCAATCATCATAGAGAAATGAGGTATTAATTAACAATTAACTTAATTATCAACTTTACTTATGATGAAACTACGAAGGCAATGCAGAATTCACAATTCATGTCAACAGTAATGGTTTAGCTTTTCTGATTTTTGTAGTGGTCCTGAAAAGGACCGTTTTGTTGAGAGTAACGCAGAATTTATGCGCGTTCTCCGCGGATACGGCGAGCCAGCTGGATGTCTTTAGGCATGATGGTCACACGCTTGGCGTGGATGGCGCACAGGTTGGTGTCCTCGAAAAGACCAACCAAGTAAGCTTCGCTAGCTTCCTGCAGAGCCATCACAGCAGAGCTCTGGAATCTCAGGTCAGTTTTGAAGTCCTGGGCGATTTCACGGACCAGACGCTGGAAGGGGAGCTTGCGGATCAGAAGCTCAGTGCTCTTCTGGTAACGACGGATTTCACGGAGAGCCACGGTACCGGGCCTGTAACGGTGAGGTTTCTTCACACCACCGGTGGCGGGGGCGCTCTTGCGAGCGGCCTTGGTGGCCAGCTGCTTCCTTGGGGCCTTGCCACCAGTAGATTTACGTGCAGTTTGCTTGGTACGAGCCATTGTTGAGATATCTGTCGTTCGTTCGGAGTACGAATAACTTGAATGATTTGGGGTATACTACAGAGATTTGTAATAAGGCGGTCTATTTGGTGATTGGGTGACCCAAATTCAAGTCCTATTTTACGCACATCTCATTGGATAAATTTTCATAAAGGTCTGAATAATTTATTAGCAGAGACAGACAGGTGCGCTTAAAATTTGCAGCATCGAATCCGAGGCATAGTGCACAAATGGCACGCATATTTATGTGTCGACAAATAAAGTGTTTATTGAGAAAGTAAAAAAGTGAAGTGTACTAAGTTTTTCTGCTATTGTAGTCGTTTAAATAAATGTAGTCTTGGCCCCCTCACCCGTAGAAGAAGAGTTTATTATTGACATGAACATTATTGTCTACTCTCAAAGCAGAGAGATCCTTTCTAACTCTCAACGAGCAGGGACTCTGCATGGAGAGTGAAGCAAACATTTGATGGTTTGGACCAATCAAATTTAGATTCATTACTGAAGGTCGTTGGCGTCGGATAAGAAGGTATTTATAATCCAAAATTGANTGGGAATCACTATATAATATGCAAATATGAATAATTGTATTCTAAGCCAACCACCACCTAGTGAAGTAAATCAAATGATTATATATCCTCAGTATGATAATGTTGGAGAGACACGTATGTGAAAATCTACCTCACTGAGATACGCTAGTTTTAGTACCCTAGTCAAATAATATATCATAAGCTCAGAGTCATTGTTAAATATAGCCTACATGAACATACACAAATATACTGTATATAAGCAGGAATTATTAATATTAATAATAATTAATCACACATACGACTTACATAGCAATTGACATAGCCGTTGAAGTGTAGGTCCACACAATAACATTGCAACTGTTGCCGCGTGTTGGAAAAAAGAGAGATATGCAAAAAAATTAATAGAATTTTACAGATGCTCCTGAAGGACAATCAATTAAGTCAAAATGGTGATTTATTAAAAGAAGGTGCAACGTCCATTTTAATGTCACGAAACCGTTTTTCCAGAATATGTTGCATATGAATAAGTAAGATTAAAATTATTTTAGTACAATATATGTGAAACAAGAAGTAGGGATTATGATAATAACCCTCATATAGATTATTTATTTAACATTAATAACTTATTATTATGGGAATTCTTTAACCAAATATAATTGTTATTAAAACTTAGTTCTTATAGTGCTTAGTGCTTATAGTGCAATTTGGTTCTTACAGTGCTTTAAGCACAACTTAAACATTATGACATGATTCTTCATGCATTAGACGAGTTCGAAAATGCCGTCTCCAAAGTGACGATATTTCATCACCGCTTCAAGCTTCCCGTTGCCACCATTTCCGTCTTCTTTACCATTTTGGATCCCAAATCCACTGGCTTTCACGTACAGGATCTCCATGTTGTCAGAGACGTAACCCTCCAATTTCACCGGACGCATGTCACCCAGGGCAGATGGGCAGATGTCTGGCAAATCTATGGCAGTAAGACGCTGGTATTCTTCCGCAGACATTCCATATACTTTGCGCAGCTCCTCTACGTAGTATTGCTCAATGACTTCTACAAGGAGAAAAAACTAACTTCAGACAATAAAGAAATGCTGGAAAGTTTTCAGTGATATTTTTTAATCGTGGGAAACACAGGGTCATTATTTTAAGAAGCCATGTACGGTTTGATCCTTGTGGACGCATACACACATGCACACACAGAGGCACGCACACACACACACACGCACAAAGGTGAGTCCAATCTGATTCCTTTCACAGTGGGAAGAAAAACACCCTGAATAGCAAACAGAAGCATTATTTTCACCCCCAGTAAATCGAAACAATTTTGAGTTTTTGTCATGAATATTTTAAGAATCATGTGTGTTTTGTTGATTTTTGACTTACCTGCCGTCTTAACTAATTCTGCAGCTTTTAAGGCGTCGATCAACATTTTCACTGACGCTTCTGATTTCTTATTTCTCCACAAAGAAAGGATCTGGAAGCGTTGCTCCAAAGGGTTAAATTGGTGTGTCATATCAATGTCGTCTATTTCTACATCTCCTATGCCAAGGTGATATCTAGCCAACATGCGACAATCTTCCAGTTTGATGTGATCACACAGCTTGAGGGAGGCTCTCTTAAGGAGGTGGTCCTGATGAAGAGAACGTAAAAAGGAAGAGAAGGAAAGATATTATTACAAACCTACACAATAAACTGGATAATAAATACATTATGCGATCATTTAAATTATACTTTAGTCGCCGCATCTTTAATGGGAAAGCGTGAATAGTTTTTAGATTTTTTTATAAAACAGAAAATCTGGATTTGAGAGATATACTGTGTTATTCTTCACTGATACTTCATGTTACTGTGTAAATACTGTATAAAGGACATACCGAGACCTTCTAAAACGAAAAAAAAAACAACAATAATAACAGAAAAGAATGAATACAGTCACAGAAGAATTAATATCTTGGGTACTTAAGGTTGCTGTAGAAATGTTTGATGAAAACTCTGGTATACCTGAACACCTGGGTTGTTAAATCGACACATGTATTCTGCAATCGCTGTTAGGCCTTTCTTTTTTGCAAGCGTGTACGGGGTTTCTTCCCTCTATAAATTAGAAAAAAAAAAAACAGTTGATCTTACCCTAGAGTGTCTATTCATCCATCCCTTATCTATCTATCTATCTATCTATCTATCTATCTATCTATCTCAGATACTGTTTATCACGTTTATCAAGTTAATATAAGAATAACTAAGTAAAGGTCAGGGTAAAAAATTCTAAATCGACCAATCTTTTAAACATTATATAAAAAGGCAGGCCTATAACTGATTCCGTGTTGTTTACATTACAACTTTTGTCTTTTCCTGAAATTAAGTATTGCAGTGCATATCCAATAGTATATACATTTTAGCTAGTATTATTTATTTCGCTTTACTTTTGTTTACTTTCGGCAAATTGAGATGTCAGACAAAGAATATTAAAGAATAGAGAAATGATGTATTGCCAAGTTGTTTTATAAATGACAGCCGACACACCCCAAAGCATATGTCTACTTACACACTTACCTCATCCCGTATAGTGGGATCCGCCCCGTGCTGGAGGAGAAGCTGGACACACTCTGTGGCACCTCGCTCTGCAGCCCAGTGTAGTGGTGTACGTCGACCTGTACCCTTCTGGATTCGGAAATTATGATAATTATGATGCAACATCTGTCTTTATTTTGTCATAATTAGTCTATATTCTAATATGATTAAATAATCTACTGTATGTCAATATGGTTTATGCACGATCCTTAGAACTTACTTATTGATTTTGGTCCGGAATATTTTGCGATATGAAATTGTAAGATTTGGCAGCAAAAAAAAAAAAAAAAAAAAACAAACAAAAAAAAGAAAAAGATGTCAATGAATATGATTTAAAGTTACATACAATTGATTCATAGTAAAATTAAACAGCGTACACACCATCGGCCATATATGCCGTCCTATACTTTTGCTCTGTATATTGGGATCTGCCCCATGCTGGAGGAGAAGTTGGACACACTGTGTGGCACCTCGCCCTGCAGCCAAGTGTAGTGGTGTACCTCCATATGCATACTGTGGATTCGCAAATTATGTTAACTTTGATGCAATATCTGTCTTTATTTTATGATAATTAGTCTTTATTATTATATAATTAACAATCTACTGTATGTAAACTGGGGTTATGTATGATTATTAGACCTTACTAATTGATTTTAGTCCGGAATATTTTGCGATGTGTCAATGGATGCGATTTAAAGTAACATACAGTGTACTCAAAGTGTGGGATTTGGCAGAAAAATATATGTCATGGTGAATATTTTTAAAGTTTGATATAATATTTTAATAGTAAAGTTTATACAGACCACACACCCCAATAACATTCCACTAGCATACTTACCTTATCCTGCATATTAGGATTTGCCCCGTGCTGGAGGAGAAGCTGGACACATTGTGTGACACCTTGCTCTGCAGCCAAGTGTAGTGGTGTACGTCCCCACTGTGGGTTTTAAAAATGTGATAATTTGGGTGCATATTGGTTAATATTTTTAATTGGTCCTATTTCATTTTTACACAGCCCACTGTTTGTAAATAGTTTTTATGACTAGGCAAAAATCCTAATTATGAAAGTTATTCCAAGTCCGTAATTATCAATTGTAGGAAGGATGTTGAAAGTATGTTGCTTTTGTGATGGGAAATTGCAAGATACGGCAGCAAAATAAATCTCAAAGTGACATTTTTAAATGTTTGATATCATGTTTTAATAGAGAAGTTTAAACAGACCACACACCTCAAGCACATTTCCTCGCATACTTACCTCATCCTGTATATTGGGATCCGCCCCGTGCTGATGGAGAAGCTGGACACACTCTGTGGCACCTTGCTCTGCAGCGAAGTGTAGTGGTGTACATCCACCTGCATCCTGTGGATTCGAAAATTATGATAATTTTGATGCAACATCTGTCTTTATTTTTGATAATTAGTTTACATTCTTACATAATTAAACAATCTACTGTATTTAACAGGGTTTATGTATGATCATTAGACCTTACTAATTGATTTAAATGCGGAATATTTTGCGATGTGTCAATGAATGTGATTTAAAGTAACATACAATGTACTCATAGTAATGTTAAAACAGCATACACACCAATGAGATCATATCCAATGCCATCCCATTGCAACGTGTATTGGGATTTCCCCCATGCTGGAGGAGAAGCTGGACACACTGTGTGTCACCATGCTTTGCAGCCAAGTGTAGTGGTGTAGGTCCATCTTCATCCTGTGGATTCGAAAATTATGTTAACTTTGATGTAAAATCTGTCTTTATTTTATGATAATTAGTCTTTGTTATTATATAATTAAACAATCTACTGTATATAAACTGGGTTCATGTATGATCATTAGACCTTAATAATATTGATTTTAGTCCGGAATATTTTGCGATGTGTCAATGAATGCGATTTAAAGTAACATACAGTGTACTCCAATTGTGGGATTTGGCAGAAAAATAAATGTCATAGTGAATATTTTAAAAGTTTGACATGATATTTTACTAGTAAAGTTTAAACAGACCACACACCCCAATCTCATTCCACTAGCATACTTACCTTATCCTGTATATTAGGATTTGCCCCGTGCTGGAGGAGTAGCTGGACACACTGTGCGGCACCTCGCTGTGCAGCCAAGTGTAGTGGTGTTTGTAATTCCTGTGGGTTTTAAAACGTGATAATTTGGGTGCATTATTAGTTAATATTTTTAATTGGTCCTATTTCATTTTTACACAGTCCACTGTTTGTAAATAGTATTTATGACTAGTCAAAAATCCTAATTATAAAAGTTATTCCAAGTCCGTAATTATCAATTGTAGGAAGGATGTTGAATGCATGTTGCTTTTATGATGGGAAATTGTCAGATACGACAGCAAAATAAATGTCACAGTGACATTTTTAAAAGTTTGATATAATATTTTAATAGTCAAATTTAAACAGACCACACACCTCAAGCACATTTCCACTCGCATACTTACCTCATCCTGTATATTGGGATCTGCCCCGTGCTGGAGGAGAAGCTGGACACACTGTGTGTCACCATGCTTTGCAGCCAAGTGTAGTGGTGTAGGTCCATCTTCATCCTGTGGATTCGAAAATTATGTTAACTTTGATGTAAAATCTGTCTTTATTTTATGATAATTAGTCTTTGTTATTATATAATTAAACAATCTACTGTATGTAAACTGGGTTTATGTATGATCATTAGACCTTAATAATATTGATTTTAGTCCGGAATATTTTGCGATGTGTCAATGAATGCGATTTAAAGTAACATACAGTGTACTCCAATTGTGGGATTTGGCAGAAAAATAAATGTCATGGTGAATATTTTAAAAGTTTGATATGATATTTTACTAGTAAAGTTTAAACAGACCACACACCCCAATCTCATTCCACTAGCATACTTACCTTATCCTGTATATTAGGATTTGCCCCGTGCTGGAGGAGAAGCTGGACACACTGTGTGTCACGGACTCACCATACTTTGCAGCCAAGTGTAGTGGTGTAGGTCCATCTTCATTCTGTGGATTCTAAAATTATGTTAACTTTGATGCAATATCTGTCTTTATTTTATGATAATTAGTCTTTATTATTATATAATTAACAATCTACTGTATGTAAACTGGGTTTATGTATGATTATTAGACCTAACTTATTGATTTTAGTCCGGAATATTTTGTGATAAAAAAATTGTAAGATTTGGCAATAAATATTATGTCAATGAATGTAATTTAAAGTAACATACAATGTATTCATAGTAATATTAAACAGCGTACACCCCATAGCCTTGTACACAATCCTATCCTTTTGCCCTGTATATTAGGATTCGCCCCGTGCTGGAGGAGAAGCTGGACACGCTGTGTTGCACCTTGCTCTACAGCCAAGTGTAGTAGTGAACGTCCTAACTGTGGGTTTGAAAATATGCAGCTTTTTCTTAGCAAAATTATCCTTAATAAATAAGTACACCATATTTATTAATAGAGAATTAAATTAATTTAATTCGTAAATTAAATTAAGTCATGATATTAAGCCCTACGTTTCTATAATTCTTGTCTTAAAATAGTTACTTTAGGTTCAATCAAGTTTTAGCTAGTGGACGTCAAAACATTTCACATTTTGATTAGACACTGAAAGATTAATTCATCACCAGATCAGTTGTGTTGACATTCAAGGTCCCATCACTCAATTGGTTCGTTAACCTCTGCAAGTCTCCGTCCTCAGCAGCTTGGAAGAGATCCTCTTCCGACATCTTGGCGGTTGACTTAATTCTCTGAAGAAAACATGAAAAGTATTTATAGTACATGAGAACTATTTTATCCTAAATTGATTTAGATATACCTATTACTATTAGAATTTATAGTCTTATTGATAAGTAACGTACAGCTGCATGCCATGTTTTTGGCGATTTTTTTGTTAGCTAGTTAATTAGATAGTTATGGAAACCACTGTCCCTAAAATTACTATAGTTTTGAAGTAATAATTCTGTACACCCCTCATAAAGTGTATTGATTTCTTGAATAAGCACAGTGTGATTGGCTACCTCTTCATTTTCTGGCAATATGTTTCACCCCCTATCTATATTCTTACAATCATTATGTTACTTTATATTTTTTTTATCTTTAAATTATGCTCGGTTGTTCAACAACTCAGTATTAATTGTTATTCAGTGCATTGTTAATAGTGGATTTATCAACATGTTGTTGATATTGGATTGAGATGAACTGGATCAATCTCATCCTGGCATTCTTCAGTGAGGAGTGCTGTAGCCAACGTTTGCTTTATTTAATCTGACAGCATTTTACATTGGCCGGGTGTAAGGGTACTAGTATTTTGCAATACCTAGGGAAATTTCTAGGGGAATCTCCTTTCCGCACAGTCTATGGACAGTCCAAAGAGAAAAGAAACAATTGTCCGAATAAACGTGTTCAATCTAACGACCTCTTCTCTAATGAGTTTAGAGGTTTAATATTTGGGGTGAATTTTCAAAATTTGCCGACCATCTCTAGAAATCGTTTCACATCTAAATATCATTACAGCGGATTCTCCACGCTTTTCAGCCGTTGTGCTTAACCAGAACATATTTCTCCACTCAATATTTGAACTTCCTCATAAATCTCAATATTGGAAGAAACAGATACGGCTTTTCGCATGGAAGGATCGTTTCGCACAGCTGAACTAGAGTGACTGAAATAAAATTTAATGTAAATATTATACGACAATGCTCCCCGATTTTCTGCGTACGCACTTATTTGCGAGATGACCTGTAATAAGTCTCTCATAATACAATTAAGCTGGCCCGATTGCACTGAAAGCAATTTAGCAAGAAGCACCCAGAGTTACATCGATCCAGCTAGTACGATCGATTTTTTGAGAACGCAGTCTTAGTTAAGATCAAAAATGGTCTCTAGTATCATTGACGGTATTGTTCAGAGCACTAGAGAGGAATTTAAAAAGCTATTGCAGGAATCAGAAGCAAAGGTTGAGATGAAAATTGACAAAATAAAAAATGAGTTCAATAAAAAGTATGACCGAATAATTGAAACTTATGAAAAAGTTGCAGCTGAGAACCTTGATCGAACAGGTAAGCTTCAGGACTATGTTGACAGTCTCATGATGGACAATGACAATTTAAAAGAAAAGCTGAGAGAGAAAGACAGGCAACTGAAACAGCTTGAAGAAAAGGTAGGACAGAATGATATTAGTCTCAAACAAGCAATGAGGCTAGCAAACCACAATAAACAATACTCAAGGAAATGTAACATTAGAGTAACAGAAATGAAGGAGAAAGAAAAGGAAAACCTTAGATATGATTTCCAACAAATGGTGAAATTAGAGATGAAAGTAGAGATAAATGACAGGGATATTCTTGGGATACACCGGTTGCCAGGAAGACCAGAGGCGATAAGGCCAGTGATCGTGAAATTCGGTAACTCAGAGGTCAAACGGCAGATTATGCGAAAGAAGCGTGAAATTAAGTCGGGTATAAGACTACATGATGACATTACAAAACAAAATCTGATGCTTATCAATAAACTGAAACAGTTCGAGGAAGTTGAAAGGTCATGGTATTACAACTGTAATGTGTATGCAACATTGAAGAATGGTGGTGGAGAAAGATTGAAATTTGAAATAGGAGATAGACTAGAAGAAAAAATAAAAAGAAAGTGACACTACTGAATGTTCTGGTCACGTAGTGGGTAACGAATGAACTTATTATGGTTGTCCAGAAGAAATCATTATGATACTGCAGCATACAAAACTAGATATTAGTTGTTATAGTTTGTATTTGCTTACTGTTCTAGGTCTACTGGTAGTAATATTGTATGTACCACAATTCCAGTGGACAGCAGGGAATGATGTCTGATTTAATTGCAGGGATTCTGATATATTGCACTTTTATTCTTGTAATTTAGTACACAAGGAAGGTTTTTTTTTCTTTTTTTCTTTTTTTTTTTTGTCATATAGTGTCATATATATATCTACACTGTGAAGCTTAAAGCCTACCAGCATGAGGTAACGATCTGATGTATTATTATTAAGCAAGCACATTAAGTTACTGTGAATATTAGAGCAACATTGTCTTTTTATTTGACCGAGACCGTGTATTTGTGGATGTATGTGCTACTTAAGACTATAGAAATAGGAAGTACTAGTGTGAATGAGATCGCGAGGATGGATGTTGTCTGTGTGGGAGGAGAACATGTGTATAACTTTTGGTGTGTGTGGCTCCTGCATTACACTTGCTGTTCTTTGTACAGACACAGATGTGTCTGCACATACTATAACTGTTATTTGTGTCTGCCGTCGTCATTGGTAACACCGTGACTTTCAAGGACAACATGATAAGTGGAAAGCCACAGGTTAGGTTAGAAAATCAGCTTCTTATATTTTTTCCTTCCACTCCTAATGATTAAAATCGCCACAGTAAATTGTCAAGGACTAGGTAACCCAGAGAAGAGAAAAGACGTTTTAAATTATTATAAAGGGAGAAAATATTCAGTGATATGCCTTCAGGATACGCACTTCACAACAAAACTAGAGCCCTATATTGAAACACAATGGGGCTATACTTGTATCTTTAATTCATACCGCTCAAATTGTAGGGGAGTTGCAATTCTTTTTAACAACAATTTTGAGTTAGTTGTGCATAAAAAAACACAAGATGATAAAGGTAACTTACTCGCTGTAGACTTAACTATTAATGACTGTCGAGTCACGCTATTAAACATTTATGGCCCAAATGAGGATTATCCAGAATTCTTTGATAAGGTTAGGGAATCCATACTTGACTTTGCAAATACAAACATTATAGTGTGTGGAGATCTTAATATCGCAATGGATCCAATTTTAGATACTTTTAATTACAATAGGAATAATAACCTAAGAGCTAGAAAAAAATTAATTGAAACTATGGATGAATTGGATCTGGTAGATTACTACAGAGTTATAAATCCTTCCAAAAGAGCATACACATGGCACAAGAAGAACCCAGTTAAACATGGTAGGCTTGATTATATACTAATATCAAATAACCTCTCAAATCTTGTCACGGATATCTCAATTAAAGCGGGTTACAAATCAGATCACTCGTCAGTTGTCTTAGAATTAAAATTTAATGATTTCGTTAGGGGACCCGGTCTGTGGAAATTCAATTGTTCTCTTCTAACCGACAGAGAGTTTGTTGACAAAGTAAAACTAACCATTAAAAGAATAAAAAATCAATATGCCAATATCTTGTATAAAGTATCCATAATTGATTGTATTCCAGAAGAAGACCTGCAATTATCCATATCCGATAGCCTATTTTTGGAAGTACTACTAATGGAAATAAGGGGGGTAACTATATCACATGCAAGTGCTAAGAAAAAGGATAAGAATAAGAAGGAAAAGGAACTTATTGATGAGATACAAAAACTTAAAGATAACAATGACGCAGGAAATTTAGTACATAATAGCATCTTAGAAGAAAAAATACAATCACTAGAAACATTAAGGAAAGAGAAACTACGGGGAAGCATGATAAGATCACGCGCACAATGGGTTGACGAGGGGGAGAAACCGACGCAATATTTTTGTGGTTTAGAGTCCAGAAATTTTCTGAATAAAACTATTCAGGTGCTAGATATAGATGGAAAAGGAACAGTCTACGAACAGTCAGAAATCCTTAAGGAGGTGAAGCTTTTCTATGAAAATGTGTATTCAAGCAAAGAAAATGAAATAGATGACGTAGACCTCAGTAATGTACTAGAACCGCATTCCTTTAATAAATTGGACAATGTTACTGCTCACGAATTAGATCAAGAATTTACATTAACTGAAATCCTAAGTGTCATTAAATCAATGAAGAATAACAAGTCCCCAGGAAGTGATGGCTTTACAGCCGAGTTCTACAAATTTTTTTGGAATGATCTCAAGTACTTTATCAGAAGAGCTATAAATGATATTTTTTTAAAAAAGATGTTGCCTATCTCACAAAGACTCGGAATCATTGTATGTCTCCCAAAAGGAGAAAAATCAAGAAAAGACATGAAAAATTGGAGGCCGATTACACCCCTGAATGTATTTTATAAGATTATTTCTGGATGTATCTGTGCACGAATAAAACGCACTTTGAATTCTCTCATACCTCCATCGCAGTCGGGTTTCATACCCGGTAGATACTTGGGTGATAACATACGAGCAATATATGATCTGATGGACTATACTGAGAATAGGCAGATTCCTGGCCTTCTAATGTTGATTGACTTCGAAAAAGCTTTTGATTCCTTAGCTTGGTCCTTCATCCATAAAGTTCTTAACATCTTCGGCTTTGGCAGAAATCTAATAACATGGGTAAACATACTAAACACTAACATTATAGCATCCGTTCTACAATGTGGTTTCCTGTCGAAACCGTTTTCTATCCAAAGAGGTTGTCGCCAAGGTGACCCAGTAGCCCCTTATTTGTTTATATTGGGTGCTGAAATTCTGTCAATACTGATAAAGAACAACACATTTATAAAAGGAATAACAATAAATGGAATCGAGAATAAGATTTTACAATATGCAGATGACACTTCACTTACATTAGATGGATCGAAAGAATCTTTATTCAATTCCCTGGAAACCCTTGAATACTTTGAAAAATTATCTGGACTACACATCAATGCCTCAAAAACTAAAGTAATATGGATAGGTTCCAAAAAATTTAGTAAAGATGTGTACCATCATTCCAGATGGAAACTTTATTGGAGGGTACAAATATTTGAGCTGTTAGGCATAACTTTTTCAGTAGAGTTAAGTGACATGATTGATCTGAATTATCAAAAGCAAATGACTAAAGTACAGAGTCAGATTAAACAATGGAAAAAACGCATCCTTAGCCCAATAGGTAAAACCACGATTGTAAAATCGTTATTAATTTCCAAACTTACCCATCTATTTATCTCCCTACCCAACCCAAATAACGGATTTATTAAATCGCTTGAGACTGAGTTTTATAATTTTGTATGGGGGTCAAAATGTGATAGAATTAAAAGGGACGTAGCCTCTCAAAATCACAACGCTGGTGGCCTTAAAATGATTGACATAAAATGTTTTATTACATCATTAAAATTTTCTTGGTTGAAAAGACTAATTACTAGGAAACAGATTTGGACTAATATATTAGAATCCATATTAGGAAAAAAGTTAATCCAGAACCTGCTCGACTTTGGTGATGATTATGTCAGGAAGTTAGCAGAACGTATCCAAAACAAATTTTGGCAGGACACTCTGATAGCTTGGGCTAACTTTATGAAAATCCAAATGTTAAAGGAATGGACAAGTGACCCAGGCGCAATACCTCTTTGGTATAATACTGAAATTAAGATTAACAACGCTTCGGTGTTTATCCCTTCCTGGTACAAACAAGGAATAAAAATTCTTGGAGATATGTTGGACAATCAGGGAAGTTTATTGAAAAAGAATGTGCTTGAACAAAAATTCAATTTGAGAGTCCAAATTATGCAGTTTAATAGCATGTACAGTGCAGTTAAGGCTTTTCTAAGACAATTTGATAAGGGAAAGGTGGCTATTACAGTCACCCCTTACTACCCGTTTCATTTCAAGGGGCTTATGCTAAATGAAAAAGGAAACAGATATGTATATAATGTCCTAAATAAGAAAAATATTATTCCCACTGGTGTCTGTACATGGAACCAAAAACTATTCAATAACGGGGACGCTCGCTTAAAAACGGAAGAAATTTTTGAGACTTGTTTTGGAACTTCTCGAGATACAACGTTACAATGGCTTCAGTTTAGAATAATACATAGGATACTCCCTTTGGGTGCTTATTTGAAAAAGATTGGCATTCAGGATAATGACATATGTGGCTTTTGTAAAAGAGACCGTGAAGATCTCCTTCATGTGTTTATACAATGTAATAGTGTGCGTCCTCTTTGGAATAAGTTTCAAGACCATATACTCGAAAAAACTAATGTCAATTTGGATCTCGATGACTATAAAATCTTGTTTGGAATAAAATGTACAACGGAAAGTAAAATCTTTAATTTACTTATTATGTTTGGAAAACTATATATTTACAAGTGCCTGAAACAAAAAAAGACCCCAAGCTTTCAAGGTGTTTTGGGTTACACAAAATTTATGTATCATGTTGAAAAAAATATTGCTTTGCGTCATGGATCTTGCACATATGACAACTTTGTTAAACAATGGGCACAATGGTTACCACTTTTTGTTAAAGGGGAATAGCAGTAGCATCTCTTTCTTTTTTTTTTGGGTTTAAGTTTTCTATACTATTTTTTTTAACTTTGTTTTGTTAATCAGCAGGCACTTAGAGATGAAGTTACTATATTTGAGTGAAATGGACAGACAACTAATTAGTCTATTTTTGTAAACACAACTGTGTAATGCAAGGATAATATACAGATTAGCAGTGACCAAGTATGAGTGTTGTGCGTACGTGGGTATGTGTGCGTGTGTGAAAGGAACATATATATATACTCTGTTTATTTATTTACTTATTATTATTCTTTTCCATAAAAAAAAAAAAAAAAAAAAAAGATCAAAAATTAGTACAGTTCAAACTCTTGTTATTCGTTCTCTGCTCATCAAGAATAACATCCAAACACTTGTCTGANAAAAAACAAAAAAAAAAAAAAGATCAAAAATTAGTACAGTTCAAACTCTTGTTATTCGTTCTCTGCTCATCAAGAATAACATCCAAACACTTGTCTGACTTGAAAGGGTGTCAGTACTTTTCAGCTCTTGAACCTTGTGATATGTTGTACAGTCAGTGTAAACATTGTACTTATATGTGCCTAATTATATTGGTATTGTGCTGATCATAGTAGTTCCTGGGGGAGATTTTAAGGGGAATCCCCCTCCCTCCTGCACAGGTTTTGTGTAGTTCGAAAATAGCTAGAAAACAAGACAATTAGCCTGCGATCGAAACGGCTTCTTCAGTCGGTACGTTTCTTGGATGGTAGAATCTAAGGAGGCACAGTAGTGATAGAAAGTATTACATGTGAGTAAAGAACGGCAGAGGGATAATGATGGACAAATAGCCCTCGATCTTAGACGTACAATGTAAGTGCAAAGTGAAAGTACCTGCTGTACCGGTATCTTAGTCTTTTTTTGGTCGTTCAAATGTAACCTCACGTTAACGACGGTATTTGTGTGTTAGAAAAGTCATGAATATTAAAATAAAAGAAATGTTTTACATCCAACCCAACAATCCTGGAAAATAATTAACCTAACTTACCGCAGATACAAATGGCGTCTGGCGCTCTTTGTTGTGGAAATCCCAGGATATTTTAGTCCCTGTTATTCCCCTGTTTCGTTGATGACGTTATAATAGTCACAACTACCACATTCACGGAAGGGTGCGCTATCACACTCGTGTTTATGAAGTTAAACCGTTATGGCAGTAATCTGTGTCTGTCGAGTGTAACTTCGTATTAATATGCAAACGCATTGTATAGTAAGCTATAGATAATGAAAATCCAAAAGTTTGTTAGATCACCTAGTCTGTGTAGTGGTGCATGTCATATGGTAAATAGGATCAGATATTACCGGTAAGAGTCCCTTTGTGTCTGTAGGTGTGTGTGTGTGTGTG